AAATGTAAGATTTTTAAGTCTGCTACTTCCCCACTCTCATCTTTTGAGTAGAAAGCAGATTGTAGTATTGCTTCAATTTCTTTTGCAAAATGCTTATCCAAATTCTCCCATAATCACTTTTTGAATCACAATTTACTGTACATTCTTTTGGACTAGTGATAAAGTTCTAGATAACAATATAGTATGGCAAATGTGATTTCCACGTCAAATTTGCATATGAAATATGAGGTACTTGCACACCTCATAATATCACATAATATACTTAACAGATGTGATCTGTTTGTAGCCATTATTTCAGTGTGACTGTTCCAGAAAGTTCCCTACATTAGGATTTATCTGTACTTGTCCTGTTTGCGCATTACTAATGAGTTGCATCAGAGATATATTTTAGGATCACTATTCTTCTGCCTGTTTGATGAGACTGCACTTGAGAATGTAGTAGGATACAGTTCCACATTCATTTAACACATCTATTGATTAACTAGTCCGTCCCGTGCTTACCTTGGGAACAGACAAATTAATGAGATGTGGTCCTCATTCTTGAGGGCCGCACCCATGACGATGCAGAGTTTAGAAGGTAAGTCTATAAATAGATTTCCAATGCAGTCTAGCAAGGCATTATAAAAGAGGTGTTATCAGAGTGCTGTGGAGGTTCCTAGGCATGAAAGACTCTTTTGTAGGTATTACCACAGATTACCCAGAAATTAGGCATGCAGAGGACTGTGTTCTCATCACACACATGAAGGAAGACATGCAGCTGATGGATTAAATATTAGTGGAGCACCATGTTATGTACTAAGCCTGCTTTAGAGTTAGATTATGCACCCACAAGCACATTTAGATTATTGCACCAAGAAATTTCTGTAAACATCTAAAGATTTTAATGGGATAACTGAACTGGAAACTGTCTTTGACTTTTGCTAATGATATTGAGGAAATAGGAAGCTCCTGTATTTTTGATGACGACAGTGTGACATCAAACTATGGGTCTATATAAGTGGTAATGTTTTCTGGTTGGTCTGGACTCTTGAATTATTTCACTAATACCTCCAATACCACGTGAAAAATGGAGGATGGCAAGATCTTCAAACAACTGTTGAATGATGAAATGGTAGTAATTAACCAGTACATAGGACTGGAAAAACACTTTAAAAATTCTCTTACATACCACTGTTTCAAGCAAACTGTGTAACTATAGATAACAAGATTTCAGCTCGGCTTGTAGTTATTCGTGGAGTTAGTTTTTTGCCCGTAATCTATATAGACTCTGAGTCTAGGAGGCTAAGATAAAAATGACTGATATTTTGAGTTGAGGCTGTTGCAACTAATCAAAGAATAAACTGCTCCTGTGTTCAGCATGGAAGGATGGGTGGTTCTGCCTTGTCCTTTGCAGCTGGAGCTGCATAAAAGAGGAGAGATGGGCTATATGTGTATGTTTATAAGAGGAGCGGTCATTTTGTCTCTTGTTGAGCTCTAACTCCCAAATTACTTTTATTTTTTGTCAATTTTTGTTGAAGACGTTCATAGAACACAGTAGTTTGGCTTAGTAGAGAGATTCCTCTTCTTTTTAGAATTCATATTGTCTTAAAAGGATGTTCACCAGCCCCCTCCCCGCCTTCATGTTACAATACTAGCTTTTGTACCACATACTAATTAATCTATGTCATGGGATCACTTTGTAATCTGTATTTAAGAGTCTCTTTCTCAGAGGAGTTCTTTCCCATTTTGAGTGTACTGATAATTTTCTCGATTTCCTGAGTAGCATCAGTATTTTTATTGGAACCAAGGTGAAATTTTGCACCTGTTCCTCGGTCCTGGAGGTTCCCCTTCCGTTATTGTCTGGTTACTTGCTGATACTTTCCTCCCTCCCATTTTTTCATCATCTGTAAGTTATGTTAACGTGATGTTTAGACTCTCTTTTAAATGATTAATGAAGTAAGCTGTGAAAGAGTATTTTTATCTTTAGTAGTGGTGCTGTAAAAGTGACAAGTGCAATGAAAGCATCTTTCTGTAATTCGGCTCCTGTCATTCGTCTCTTTAGTGTCTTTGTGATATGACTTGAAATGATAGTGTTCACATCTCTTTTGCAGCTAGCTCCCACTGAAAGGATATAATCATCTGTTTGATATCACGCCACTTCCCCAGCTACAGATTGTAATGTCAGAAACCAAAGATTATTCTCTCTCAGCAGGAAGAAGCTGGAGAGGAGATGAATCCTTATGATGAACCATCATCCTTATTCATATTTGGTCACGTCATGAAAAAAATTAACCATAATAAGGAGCAAGTATATTGGCTAGTTGAAATACCTTGTTGAATGAAGCTTGAAAAACTTTCCCATTATACTAGAATGAAAGACTTTTTTTCAGAAATTCTAAGGAAAAATTTGAAAGTGACAATAATGTAGATAGATATCAGTAAATATTTATTTATTGAATTTAAATATATTATGTAGTACCAGTCCCCTCAAATTAAATGTTAACACTTAGAAATGCATTTTATGAATATTTCTAATTTTATATACAAAACTGTGTTTCTTGCTATTGCAGACAAAGATAACATAAGAATCTAAAAAAAGTCAACAAAGACACTAAATGGTTGTACTTTATTTTGACCTATGTACCTACTTTTACTTTTTCATGGTTTAAATGAAAAGTTTATAGCTTTTAGATAATTTAAAATGTGCAGAATCTAAGGATATAGTAATATCATTGCAAGGATATTGTAGTCAATTATTTGCTCCATTTTAATGAAAGAGAGCAATGATACAAAACCCTATAAATGTACATAAAATACATTTTAAATTATAGAAACAATTGGGCAGTCATTGAATACTTCCCAAGAATGTTCAAAATCTTTTTAATTGTTAAATCTATCAACACAAGGAAGAAATTCCCATAAACAAACCAAATCTTGAGGCACTAGCATAAAATTCCATGTCCATTTATACCCATGAGATGCTAAAAGTGAAGCATTTTTCTGCTTTTTAACACATCACTGATAAAGTTAGCTAATGGATAAAATTTAGCTAATTGATAAAATTAGCAAATATTTTTTATTTGCTTTTTCACTAAAATGAAGAGGAAAATTTAGATTATTCCAAATTACTGAAGAGTGTTGTTGTTTTTTTTTGAGAACTATTGTTTAAACTTCAATAATCATTATTCAGAATGGATTATTACAGAGAAAAACCCTGATTTAGGTAGGAAAGAAACTGAAGATTCATCGGGACTGATCCTGACCAGAGCTAAAGGGGAGGGGAGTAGTATCTGTTTGCCCATCTATTGTCATTAGGCGGTAAGTCATAAAAGCAAAGTCCCCAAACTAGTGGGACATGAGTCTCTGTGTACATTGCAGTGAATAAATAAAATCCAGAAGACTTCAGGGATATGATTTTATACCCCCTTCAATTCTATTTATTGGAAGCAAATTGAGCATAATATTGTCAATCTATTTTTGCCAAAGTTAAATCTTTTCATTATGAGTTGAAATATTGATTAATATTTTTACTTACAAAATATATCTTTTTAAAGCCTTGTCTGTTTACAAAATATATCGTAATAAGGAGGAAAAGATGAAAGGACTCCTTAAGGGTTCAGGTAAGTCTCAATGTAGGTAAAAAACAATACTTTTAGTTAGGACTGGTATACAAAGTAAGCATTTTGAAATTTAAGTAAATATTTTTCTCTGCAAAGAATTGGCATATGACACTGTCACTGCTTGATTTTAAATTGCTGCTTTTCTTTGGTACTGGAAAATGATGGGTGAATTTCTGTAATGACTTGAGATGCAAAAGACTTATGATATTGAAGGTTATAGACTGTTTTGAAAAGAGAGATGGGATCATGTAATTCACACTATTAAAATTTGGAAAAAGGAAAGAATTCAGTGAATTGGAAGCGTATAATTTCAAATTTAACTTTTTTTTAGACAAGTACTGAATAATTACTTCTGATAAATTTCCTTGTATTGTCAGATCTCTATAGTTAGGTGTGACTTTTGTTTCCCTTATCTCTTGTCTTCAAAGATAACAGAAATATTTATTGTAGGGCTTCTTTATAAAAAGATTAAGCTTTGAACTTTTCCTGTTGAAGTTATATGAAAACTAATATGGTTGAATTTTGGCTAAAAATCTATGTAGGGAATTAAAATTCTGACAGTCCTTTATGTGTATATGTATATATATATATATAAAAGGATAGTCTTTTTAGAAGCCTCTTTATGGGGTGATTTCTAGGGAATTTCTGAAAGGCACTGTGCTTTTTAAAATTCTTTGATGGCTTCAGTAGTTTTTTGCATTTTACAGTTTGGACCATTGATCTGAGTTAAAGCTTTTGAGGTATTAAAATACCAAGCATCTTTTTGTTTTACTGTTAAATCAGAAAAATGTCCTCACTTAGGCTGTTACAAAAAACATCCCCAGTACCTTTAGGGTAAATTAACCCCATTCTACGGAAGTGTTATATCTTAGTTTACTAGAGATTGTTTTTCTTTAGTGTGAATGAGAGTGACATCACAGCTTGCTTTTTCTTGGTCACGATTAAAATCAGTCACTGAGCTTTGTTCTTTTGCACTAATAGAAATAATATTAAAAATGCATTAATTTTTCTGTTTTACCAACTTCCCTGGGAAACAAGTTTCATTTGAATATGTTCAGTAAATAGCATCTGTGCATGGCTCTCCACCCCAGTCAGGGCTCCCTCCATGCATTTTTTTCAAGCTATTAAATAAAACAAAAGTAGGAACTTAGAAATGAAGACAAAGATGGGACAAATCCAATGCAAATTGAATGGGATTATTTGGGTGTTTTGTTATCTAGTTATGAATGATTAGTTTATGTAGTATAAGGAAAAACAAGTGTTTACCTCAGAAGGCTTCAATCTGCATAAAGCTGAAGAAAGGGTTGCATAAAATTCAAATCTCCTGGCTCCATTCACAGCATTGGCAGGTCTGATTTCAGTAGTCAAGATATAAATTAATGTTATAAAATTAAATCTTACCTGGCAGTGGTTTGTTTGAAGCTCAGTAATTTGAATTCCTGTTGGAAATAGTAAGCTTCGATACCTGAAATGCCTTCTTTACTTCCTGTCGTTTTTTTAGCACTGTGATTTCTTGCAGTGTCTTTATATCTGTATTATTGGTAATCCTGTAGCATTAGTTAGGACAGCACGCAACAGATGAAGATTCCATTTGGATAGGATTATAGAAAGAGAGGGTGAATTTTGCATTTTTCCCCTGACAACAGCAGTTGATCTGACCATGGACAACTTGAGTGTTCAGAACTTATTAAAAATTCATTGAATGTCTCAGCAATGAGAAATCCGGGTTCTTCCTATAGCTGTTTTACCTCCTGGAAAAGTTCTGTCCATATTTCAGAATTACACACGCTCCCAAATCAAGTTGCTTTAAGAAATTACCTGGACTAGAAGCATGGATGTTCTCTTGTACTCTCTTGCTTTCCTTGTTTTTCCCTTTACCAACTTTTTGGTCCGTTTAGCTTTTTTTCTGTAGAGGATGAAGCGATTTCTTCTTCTGTCCTCCTGGTGCTTCTGTAACATACTTCTGGTCCACTGTTATTGCACAGGAGGGAAAAATCCCCAAAGAAGTACAGCTTTACAATATCTCTGGACAGTGAGCATACTTGGCATGAATGAAGAGCTGCTATGAGCTATTCAAATCAGACAGCACACTGATGGGATGACGCTTTCATCCATAATAAACCCATTAATTACTTCTCCTGATGGACAGCAGTACTCCCTGAAAGGGAAAAGGAAGCAGCGGATGAACACATTTGGTTTGATAGATGCTCTCTGAGCAGCTTGTCATTGAGAAGTGAATCCAGGAAAAGCTGCAGCCCTGGAATGTGATCAGGTAGAATGGGCTAGAGTTGTTTTGGCAGACAGTTAAGTGACGTATCTTGGGAGGAAAAAGAGAGCTGAGCACAGAGTGAGCTGGAATAATGCTCCAAAATGCATTTGAAAATGTTCATTTTCCCGTTAGTCCTTTTGGCTGGAAGAAAGAACTCTGTATTTTACCTATGCGTTATTTGCAGAAATTTTGCTGAGCACTTGTTTGATGATATAATTTTTCCTAAAGAGGGAAAATAATTTTTAAAAAGTCTTTGAGGTAGAAAAGTATATTGTAGAAGGGAAAAAAACTTGTAGAAGGGAAAAGACTGCTTTTTGTGAACGGCACACCTGTTTTTATGTATCTTTTGGGCCCATGCACTTTGTTGCTTTGGAATAAAGGCATTAGGAGTCATCACCTGGTATAAAATTTTAGTAGGGTCTTCATTTTAAAATGTTCTTAAATTAGATGGAATTCTGAGTTGCTGTATAAAAGAATAGATCTAAAAATGTAAGCTTCATAATTTTTGTACCTCGTTTTTTAAATATCACAAGATGGTTTTTCTACTTATCCATAGGATCATTTAGGAGTGTTTCTGGACAATAGAACGCTTATAAATGTTTTAAAAAGTTATGAAAAATTTCAAACTTACGGAAAACTATGGGAATATAATATATGGACTGCTATAAACCCATTACCCAGATTCAGTAATTACCAAGATTTTGCCATAGTAGTGTCATTTAGCTTTTTTCTTAGCTGAAATAATTTAAAGCAAATCTCATTTCAACCCCACATACAAGTATATTTTTAACATATTGACCACTGTGCCATTATCACACCTAACAATAACAATAATTAAAATTAACAAATAACAATGGGGTTACTTGTTAATAATTCTTTGGGGTCATATAATATCCACTCTATTTCAAATTTCTCATGCCTCAGAAACTGTCGCATTACAGTTTTTTTTTTTAATAGGAAGCTAGACAAAGTCTACACTTTACATTTAGTTATTAGGCCTTAGAATTTTAAACATTGGCTTAGATGATCACATATGAGAAAGACATAAACTTTAGTTTCATAGTAGTCTTTTATACATATTTATAATATGACTACAGAAGAGAACATATCTCTAGAATATTTGCTTGAACTTTTTTCCAGATAACATTATTCATGATACCAAAAAGGAATGTAAGTTTATGTG